TCGATAGATTGATCTTTCTAATCCTGCTTTTGAAAAATATGCAACACCTTCGCCGGGAATCGAACCACGGACCTCTGGAATACCGGTCCAGCGTGAAGAACCACTAGACCAGAAGGCACGCTAGGAAGACGGGCGAAATACCTTATATACTCCCCCTTTTAAAGGGCGACTGGGGTTTTTAGGGGAGCCAATCGCCAAATCTTGGGTGAGGAGAATCACCAGCCTACACCCTTTTAGTTCGGGCGCTACTGTAGAGACATTAGGTATATTTTGGAAGCAAGCAAGATGAAAAATATGCAACGCCTTTGCCGGGAATCGAACCACGGACCTCTCAATTACGCGCTGTGCTGACCGCTACACCACGAAGGCTTGCCAAGAAGGCGGGAGAAATACCTTATAAAGCTTTTTAAGAGATTCTTCAGATAATCACAGCATTAAAATTGCATAATTTTTAATTTTAATATGGCTTTCTTATTTGCTGCGCATAAAAATTTATAGAAAGCGTGTCCAAAAGCTTTTATTTTTTATTGTCCAAACACTTTTACTACTTAGCTTTTGTAGCTTTTGTATTAACCGTGGATCGTGGACGTGTACTTATGAAAATGATTTAAATAATTAAAATATTCCTGTTTTGGAATTTTTAAATGTAAAGAAATCAATTTTGAGAACATTATATAATCTTATTTTATGTATATTCTTCCGGTCACTATACCGAGAATTCTGGAATATTTTGTACACGTTATAAAAATGAAACGTAAAAACTTTGACACCCGTACAACAAAAATTTACCAAGATGTTTAATTTCAAAATCTGCGATTTTTGACATCATATTCAATTTTCATTGAGGTGTCTGTTCAATAAATAAATAAGAATAATTCGAGATTGATTTTTTCCCTTAAATATCATTCAATGATATTGTTTTGTTATTACTTTTGGAATCACAATTTAGTTATTGTTAAAAAAATCATTAAATTACAAATACTTTTCATTTTTTTATGAATACAAATAATATTACGAGTTGGCCGGAGGTCAGTATTGAAACATGTGTGTGTTTTCTAGAACACGAATTCTATCAGATTCTCTGAATACGATCTCCATTTTAAAGAAAACAATCTTGATTAATATTTTCCCAATAATCTGCATAGTTCGTCACCTCATCTCTAAACATCAGAAATCTTCTTCTTTTTTTAGTTACATAAAAATGAAAACATTTCGGTATTCAATTTGTGTGCAATTCAGGAAATTAATTTTGAATATGTCGGTCAATTTTTGTCGAATGGAAGCGTTTTGTTTTATCATTTTTTATAACGAGTATAAAATTTTTTTAAATATATGTATAGGGATTGAGACAACTTATGAAAAGTTAGATTTCATATTTTATGCAAAAGCATATACGTTTTTAAATTAAAAATACAAAAAACAGGAATTACTTAAAACATTTTTGTTATTGTAAATATCTAAGAGTGTTTATAAAAGTCCTTCAGACCAACGGTTGCAAAAATAAAGACCGGGTAAAACTTGTATAAACACTCTGTATACTCATAAAACATTTAGTAATGTTAAAGTAACTAATTATAAGCAACAGGAATTAGCGTGATATGAGTAAATTTACAGGCTTATTATTAGTTGCTTTAGCATCTAGTTCTTCTACGCCTTCTTTTTTTCATTTAAAATAGGTTACAAGAAATCTTTGCGTAACAGGAAACTCTGATTACATATTTAAATTCGGTGTTAAAAATACTGTTACATTGTAATTTATGTAACGAAATAAAAAAGTATTCTGTAGCATTATCAGTTGAAATGCATTGAAAATGTTCTGAACCCAAACGTTGACTGATTTTTATTAATTATTAATATTAAAGTTGATGTGCATATCTTACATCGGTAATCATCTGTCGACATCTGTTATAATATATTTTCTACCTTTAACAGCTTACCTTCGGTTAAAGGTTTAGGTGCTATAGCGAAATGAAGTTTTATAAGTCGACTCCATTTTAGCGATTTCATCAAGGCGAAATAAAAGTCAAAAGTCACACCTTTTATTCTGATGGAAAAATCGATAATTTCTGACAAGATTTAATGAAATGTCTGAATATAACTAAAAATTCTTCTCGTGTACACCGTTTTTGAAATTCATCACAAATGATAGTCAGTAAAGAAACTGAGCACCATTAATATAATTAGAACGAACAAAGAAATTAATTAATTAACAGTAATTGAATTGATTATACGATAGTAATGATAATGAAGACTAACTTTTTTCATAATTTCAATTTCACCACCAAAAACTATTAGAGAAAAATATATTTACTTCACAAATCTTGAAAGGCAGTTTATCTACACAATTACTAAAACTCTTCTATTATAAATGGTATTCGAATAAAAATGATATGATTTTAAAACGAAATGACAACCACATTTAAAGTGTTATCACTGTTACCAAATTTTATTTATGTTTCCTAACCTCTGACAGTTCTCTATGTCCAAATACATGTTTCAAGAATTTGAGCAAATTTGTCTTCTCAAATGAATGATTGAATATATTAATAAAACAAACTGCCATTTTTGGTGAGAAAGCAATCCACAAGAGATACATTAGAAGCTCTTGCATTCGCAAAAGAGCATTGTATGATATGGTTATGGAACAATGACAATATTGGACATCCGCCCTTTTTCTCGAGGAGGGCAAATTAAAGGATATTGATGTGGAGGACATGTGTTTCCAACAGGATAAATACCAGATATCACATTTCGAAAGCCACTATAGACATATTGCAGAAAAAGTTCGGTGAAAGGATAATTTCACGAAATGCAACTATTAGTTCGCCACCCAGAAGTTGTGATTTAACTCCTTTAGATTACCTTTTGTGTAAATATTTGAAATAAATGGTCTGTTGCGGCAAACCACGAACCCCTGAAGCTTATAACGTCTCGTATACTCTGCTATCCTAAACTGAGTTAGATATTAGAAGAGTATTTAGGGAACTATCCCTTAGTACGACAAAGTTAGAAGAAGGGTGTAAAGAACTCTTTATTAACTCAAATAAAACTCACATACGGCGCTGACTTGTGCTTACAAAAGCCAACACTTTTACCTTAACTCGAAAAGGTAACAATTAATTTAAAATTAAACGGAATTAAGTTTAGCCTAATGGTTTGTTCTTGGGAAAGAAGCTTTTCAAAGTTGATTAAAATTATCTTCGAGCAACAATGAGCCAGAGGGGTCTCCATCCCATTAAAAAGGAGCCCCAGGGGATATTCCATTCCGGCCTCAATAGCTATAGATCCGCCCTTGCTTGTATCTCTCTGTTATTCACAGATTTGATGAAAATGCTGTTTATTGAGGAAGGCCGTGTAATATGCATGTGTAAAATTTACTCGGAGATAAACTGAGTATGAAATCAAGCTTATAATTTTAACAAGTGACTTCGACATCGATAAGGGCTGAGCTATGCAAACTAGGAGCCATCTTTTTCAGAACTTTCGCATTCAAGTATGGACTTGAAAGGATTTTTTAATTAATTTTCATATCCTTTGAGAAACTTTAGATTAAGTTTTTTTTTACATTGAATATTATTTATTCATTGGAAACTTCATTGCTTATTGAATTTACTGAATGTAAAAGAGAAATGCCTATTACGAAATTGAAAAATTAAATGGAGTTGAAGAAGCTATTTGCGTGTAACAGGTTACTTCACTGCATGCGACGGACATTATCAACTATGTGTAGTGCTGCCATCTAGTATCGATGTTTCAAAAGTGATAATGAAATTTAAATGATATTGATCTTTATACTTGTTTTTAAGAATGATAACAGTTTTTAATGCTATTAATTCATTTAGCAGAGACTATAAATTTAGCAGAGACTATAAAGAGACTAGCATTTAATTAGAAAAATAGTCAAATGATAACTCATAAAACTGTTGGAAATTTCTCCAGGTGATACAAGTATTCAAATGAGACCTATGATCATAATTTTTCATGCATTGATCATGTTAAAATTTTGAATCGAACACATGTGAAATACCAATGAAGTAAGACAAGGTGAAAACTTCCTCCTGACAATGCTGAGAGAGTGGTAGATCAACAATTGCTAAATGAAATAACGGAAGACAGAACGAACCCCCGAGTTAAGTTCTTTTCTCCTGTAAAAAAAATAAAAAATAGAATTCTTCGACGTATTAGGGCTAATAATATGAAGTGGATCCTCTACTACAGTGATTCTCAACCTGTTTCCACTCATGCACCCATTTCACCATTGGTAGAAGATCAACTCCCCACCCCTTTCCAAAACTCGGAAAATGCGTGTACATTTATTCATAAATGATTTTCTACTTAATACACAGAGAAACCACAAAAACTGCAAATAATTTTGCCGGTTTTTTCCAAATTCAATAAAATTTTGGTGAATGAAAATGTGTAAATGGTAACTATACGACATGGTAAAACCTAGAATAGCAGTGAAACTTCACCAGTATTTTACGCAAATCATGGCTAAAGACACTTTTCTGAGCCTCCGGATGTTGATATTTGCTCTCAAAATCAGTGTAATTTTAATTAACAATATGTTTCGTAGTCTTATGCGTCTCCTGTACGACTGCCATGATATGTCTCACCTCACGTATTTGACATTTCCTTGGCTTCATCCAAGGACCTTAAATGAGCCTTTACATAAACCTTTTTTACAAGGTCCATGGCTTCATCTTCGTGACGTCATGTTAACTCCATCTATTCTAACCTCCTTGTTATAAATTATTGTATATCACTAAATGAAAGTGTTCTTAATTTGTAAAGAGCTTTTGATTGTTTCTCATCTCTTCAGCAAAGATTTTGACCCTTTTTGTGAATGTATTTTCCTTGATGTGTTTTATCTACCATTATTTTGTATTTTGAACTGTCTATTTTTTTTATGTCCTAAAAACAAATTATTGTAACTTCCCATGCTTATTCTCATACTTCATACACATGTACAATAAAGTTTTAAATTTTTTCCCCCCCAGGAAGCTCAAAATGAAGTTCTGCGTTCATCCATAACTTGGATCTTAATGTGGTTTTGGAGATTATGGAATGCCCATAACTTAATACAAATGCTCTTGTTTTCTATTTATGTAAATAAATTATGGGTAAGTTAATTAATTACTTCTTTACTTTAATTCTTCTTTAGTGTCTGTTTATCAATTGTCAAATAACATTTTTGAAGCTTCTAAAACAAGTTTATTGTTTTTATATTTAAAAGGTCTAGACAAAAGATCTCTAACTTGTCTCCCTTATTATAATAACGCAGAAATTGAGTTCATTTGAAAACAACGTATTACGTTTTTCAAAAGTATATTTCAGTACTTTTAGATAACAAAAAGATTATTTATTAAAATATTTATTGCTTGTATGTTGTTGTTCCTAGCAGTGATCTCTCTCATTATCGAGTTTAATGCTCGTCATTTACAAACAAAATATCGACGGTTCCTGAAGATTAGTTATAATATTAGAATATATATTTACATAATTTTTAAAAGATATTTGTTCTTATTTATGTGGCAAGGGCTGATGTGAGGGCGCGGTTCGTTTTTTGAAAAGTCTGGCACCTTTTTGCAAATTAGTCGTTGTTCGCCAACACAAAAGGGTACCCCCGATATATATATACCAAGGTGTACGGTTCTGTTGTGAAATTCAGCTTCGCGGAATAAGTTGGGGAACAATACGCGGAATACAAACTTCATCAAGATGCCTAGACTTCCGTGTGAAAATCGGCGAACAGCTGCCGCCTTGCATAAAGGTGCCGGCATTTTAATACCAAGGCATTGTTATAACAGGATTCGTAGCGGTCCTTATAAGTGCTTATAAGTCCTTATATTTGAAAATAAAATATAAAGGCCCTTATAGGTGCTTTCTTTTTCTTTAAAGTCCTTATTCTTTTTTGTTTGTTTTTAGTGCTTATTTTTTGCTTTTAGTTTTTTTTTTTTTTTTTTTTTTTTTTTGAATGAATGAACGCGCTATTTTTCCCCGTACCAAAGCCGAAACTAAATAAACAACTTTTCTTCCTAATATGGAATGTCAGATGGTGAGTCATACTCCCGGAAATAGCTTTTCCCTCTTTCTCTGCATTAACGTAACCTTTAGTGTGCACGAAGAGTACAGACAGGTGCCCGTCGTTCTATTGGTCAAAGAATTGCGAAAGCAGTAGAAAATTCCGCTACATTCGGCATTCTTTTCCTCCCACCCAAATACTACACACGTTTGAATTTTTATCAAGATCTTAAAAATTTGCATTCTCGTTCTGCTTGGTCAGTTCATATTCGTGTTTATTATGATCGTTATGCTTATATTATGAGCATATGTATGAATGTTTATAATAACATAGTTGCAGTAACTGCTGAAGTATAGTAAACTTCCAAAAATGGTTGTGTTTTAACACAGATTAGCTTTCTAAGGAATAATATTCGGAATGGCTTAAATAAAGGGAAAGTAATCGAATAGTCAAAATAATTTCATTTTTTTGGCCAATGTATTATACAGTACGAAGGTTGGGAGGTCTTCCCTTTCTCCGCAAAATCTTGAATATTGAAACTGTTACAGTTCGCTGCAAAAAAAGCAACGGACTTTTTTGGGGGGGTTACTTTCCAATCTGGATTAAATAGGACTAAAAGTTCTGCGGTCTGCCAACCCAAGCGAAGAATGATTCTATTCCGGAAATTTAACGCCGTCTGTTGAAAATTAGAATGAAAAACACCCCAGTTATTTAGTTCTTTTTCTCCCAATACCGGCAGTTGTTGATTCCGATTGCGTAATATCACGTAGGGAAGAATTACGGCGCACGTAATATTGCGCAATAACGTTTGCGATATTTTGCAGAGATAATTATTTTCCTTTATTTTGTTATTTATGTTCAGTCCTGTTGATTCTGATTTGTTTATGAAAAAATACATATTGCACAATTACATTTGCGAATTTTGCTGATAAAAGAGTTTTACTGTGCTTGCTAAACAGAATATTTTTTAGTTCCGTTGGTTTATTTTTATATGATGCACATATGAAATGTCAAAAGCATTTATTTAGCGGAAAAATCTAAAGAGCGGCTACAGTCTACTACCCCCTTCCGCTTCTCTTTTTCAAGTTACGCTCGACTGTCCGAATTTTCAATATTCCGCAATTTCCAAGTATGCGGGTTAGTTAAGCTTTTACTGTTAAAGATGGCTGCATGACGCAAATTTCTGACTTTATTTGATTTCAGAAATGTTCCTCTTTTTTACTTAAATTATTTTGCTTGCAATATCTGTTAAGAGAAAATTGATATACTATGAAAATTTAGAAAATGTTCAGAATTTAGATTTAAATTATTTAAATATCAATATGAGTGGAAAAATTTATTATTAGGTTCCAAACGAATACAATAAATATGCCTTATTATTATTTATTTTCTCTATTTTGAACTGAAATTTCATCATTAAATCTTGTAATATAGTTTAGTTCTTCATAGTTTTTTTTTCCTCCCATTGTAAACTAGTTCTGTAAATTGAACTATTATTTAAAATTTAAAAAAAAAATATTATTTTTCCATGGTTGAGGTAATGCTTATTCTCTCTTAATAAGCACTTCATTTCTCATATTTTAAATTAAAATTCTAATTTTTAAGGTTATGCAGTTGTGTATGATGTAATTAGACAGGTGCTTATTTTTTTTCTTAAAATGTGCTTGAAAAGTGCTTATAGGTGCTTATTTTTTTAACTAAAATGTGGCTATGAACCCTGTATAAAATCGTCGGAGTGGCGAGATAAGCAAATTTCCCGCTTTTATGCCATGGAATAAAGAATTATATCAAGCAGTTAGGAATTTGTGACTAGCTAACGAGGACGGGGTTAAAACGATGAGTTTTTGTTTACCATTAGTTTATCTTTTTCTCCTTTTAAGGTATGAGATGGCTTATTAAAATCCTTTCCTTCTAATGAATTTATTGCTTTTTTCTATATGTATCCTAGAATTATGATAACTGTTTCATCCGTTTTTAAACCATGGATATCTGGTGCCTTGCATAAACTCGATATCAGGTGCCTTAATATGGGGCATAACAATAAATAGTCTTATGTTTTATACCTTTTTTTAAATTTGTTTGAACAGCGAGAAGAAAATAGAAAAAAAAAGGGGGGTTCCGCAGCAGTAGCGTATTTATAGACTTATTTCTTTGTTTAAATTCTGGATCTGGAATTGGATGACAGCTGTCGCAATGCAGGAGAATTACGTAAGTAAGCTTGAAATGGAAAGATACAGTCCATAAAATTATTATGAACTGTTAAAAACAGAAAGGGAAGACAGCTAAATTAAAATGGGAATAAAAGAGGCCATTGCCAAATTAAAATTAATAATTTTGAATTACATATTTTATATCTTACATATTCGCCAGTCAGCCAAAGCGGATATGCCAAAATTGATGGATATGTTTGTATCTGGAGAAAGCTGTGGGATCTTCCGATTTGTGTAAAATAAAAAAATTAGAAATGTAAAAATAACTGTAAAAACCATAATTTCAATAATACTATGATAAATAATATTAAAATGCAAGTTATAATGATGAGAATTAGTTATATTATGAAATTTTGGAATTTGTTGTGATTATTCAAAGTAGGTAATGGGTGCACAAAATTTTTATAATTGTGATATTGTGTGAAAACTTTGAAGAGCCTTCCTTGAACAATTATGTGAACTCTTAAACACAAAGACTCTTGGACTGAACCTTTAATGGGACTCAATCATCAAATCAAAATCAAAATTTCTGTCTTGCAGTTATTTAAATATTTATTTTGATCAAAATTTTAACAATAATTTGTATTTTTCAAACTATGTTTCTCTACATTTGCTAATGCTTTAGTGCTTTATCTCTTAAAAAGACTTATCTGTTAGTAAGCCATTTTCTCTTTGAAAAAGGGGGGATATGTAAGATATAAAATATGTAAATCAAAATTGAAATTTAAATTAGCAGTAGACCCCTTAATTCCCTGTTTTAATTTGGGTACTTCCTCGCTCTAATCTGAAAATATTAGTGACTTTTTTTGGATTGCGTCATTTCTAGTATAAGCCATATTATAAATCTTTTACATAGCGATGATGCTGCTGTTAATTGCTTAACATTTCCTGAACCGAAACCTTTATCTTAATAAGCTACCATATTGGATAACTACGCCCATTGCTTCTGCTTCTGTTACCACTAAGATGCTGCCACGTTGCTTCTGTATTTACCGTAGAGCTTTCAAAAATATAAAATGTTTGAAATAGGCACGATCAGAAGTGAACTGTGGCCTCAAATGTCAATTGAAATAAAAATGAATATTTAATCTACCTCGCCTGCCAAGTTTCCTCTTCATTATGTACCAGCACTTGTGTACGTCAACTTTCCTACAATATTACATACATATTACATGTTATTTCATTTTTTAAATTATTATTGCTTCATGGGCCACATTAATGGATTCTGTGGCGCAAGTAATGAATTCTGGAAGCGTGCAAATAATGAGTTCCGAGGATTTTTGCAATTTAGGTCTTATGATAACACGCTTCAATATAAGTTCTTTTTTTATTGTGTGCATCATTTCCAATGGCACTCTCACTGCAGCAGCAAGGCTTCTTAATGTTAAGAGGTTTGTTAATTAAGAAGGATCTTCCTGATCTTTTTACGTTCTTTGAGTCGACAACTATTATGCTTCTTCATTTTTGCCTCCCTGTCCTTGATACAGTTTTGGTCTACATTTTGCCTCAAGTCTTTCTTTTCAAAATTTCTAAATAACTTATGTAGAATCGCATTTCTGTCTTCAGACCTTAAACTGCGTTTATCTGCGTAGCTCTGTAAACAATAATGAAAATAAATCGACATGTAGTATCAAAATTCTGTTTTGTAAAAGAAGAAGATAATGTATTCAAAACCACTCTTCCCGCTTTTATCTCCTTAATCCGATACCAATAATTTATAAATCGGGCAATTATTTCGATATGAAGGGAATAATAAATTGGTGATTTAGATGGCAGTGAACGTGTTTTTTTTTTTTTTTTTTTTTTTTTTTTTCTATTTAATGTGATGAGGAAGAATTATTGTGGTTTGTACTTTAATGAATTTTATTTCGTAGAATTATGCATAATTACAACTCCTATTTAGTTCGCATATGTAGTACATTTACATGTTTATACTAGTATTGCAATCGTCGTTACATATGTTTAAGCGATTAACACTTTCTCAATGAAAAAATAAGTTTTGGTTTCTTTTTATGACCAAAATCATTTTTCTCTGCAATAGCTTTACGGCTCTTTTAAAGTTTTAAATTATTATTATTATTATTATTATTATTATTATTATTATTTATTTAAGTTAACAAAAATATTAGATAGCAGATGGAACTTGAAAATTTGTATGTAATATCTTTTATTATGTCAGTATACTGAAACTTAATAATATATTTTATCTGTATTATTTAATTAATGATTTGATTTCTTTGCAATGAAGGAAAGGGATTATTATTTATAGACAAAATGCTGAAAATAAAGGATGAACCACTTCTGAAAGTACGCGTATTACGAAGCGACTTTTGCCTGTTTGTGATGGATATGATTTAATTGTATTACTTATATAACCGAATAATACATATTTGTTTCCGTGAAAAATAAGAATACAAACATGAATGAAAAATAAGAATACAAACATTTTATAAATATTTATAGAATGTCTGTTTATACGTAAAATTAAAAAATTTGAATTATAAATGTATTTATTGTAGAGTTAAAAATACTGTTTATTTTAATATCTAACTTATTAACCATCTCAAACTTGTGTTTTTAGGAATTTCTGATGTGGATTCAGTTTGTAGGATTTACTCAAATTTTTACGTTGGCTTTCTTAACAGAAATTCATCTTTCTACAGTAAGTATAAAATGTCTTGCAGTTCCAAATGTTGTATGAATATGTAAATATAATACAATTTGTTTTTGCGTCTATTATAACTATCAATTTTTTAATATTCTGTGAAATTAAAAAAAAAAATGCAGTTTGAAATTTTTGAATTCAGTCTAACACCTTGAAGCATTTCTCATTTAAGTTGAAAAAAATTAACAAAATATTTAAATATTAACACATAAAATGTTTTTCAATCTTGGTAGACTTCAGTTTTACACATAAAAGAGCTTTAAGTTACGAGTTATGATTGACTGCTATTTAAGAGTCGCTCTTACAGAAATAAATGTAAAATCTCATATTTAGAACGAATTATTCAAAATTGCAAAGCCAAATGGCTGAAAACAATTTTCTTGTCATGTTACAGTGGACGCTCGTTAATTCGAACTCAAAGGTACTCAGAAAAAAGTTCGAATTATCTGATGTTAAGATAAAATGTAACTTTAAAAGAGTACCTGAAGAAGAAAAATCCCCTAAGATGTATAATCTCAGAAAATATATTATACTATGCTGTCTAAAATTAAACATATTAAAAAGCAATAAAGACTTATCTTAATCATAAAATGAAGAAGAAGATATGCGATGTAAACTTTGATTAAAAATATAATTTACACCTTTTGGAAAAACTATAAAATGGATGTTTAGTTTTGTTTATTATACCTGTACGTGTCAGCCACCTTCTTGATTTGAAATAAACATTTCAATTCATTTTTAGAGGAAGGTTCAATCTCAATAAATCCTTTCAGAGCTTTTATAGAGTCCATTATGGATTGATCACTAGGATTCTTAACAGTCTGCATTCTCTTCTGAATCCGATGAGGTCTCTTCTTTTTCATCTTCTCGGATAATTTTTATTACGTCATAGTCGCTGAGTTTTCCACAAACTTCCAAGTCTTCATCTACGCTTAAATATCAGAAAAGTAACGTTATTGCATTAATTTTTTTTAATTCAGAAAAAGCTGTATCAGTATCGTAACATTCTTCGATATGACTTTTCTCTTCAGCGTGCATGAAGGAAGCAATTGCTAATTGTGCTTTCTTTAATAGCATCCTGTGCGGCGCATAGATCATCTATGGCTGTCAGCAGAGTAATGTCGCAGTTTTCACCAGAATTTAAAAAAAAAAAAAAAAAGAGGATTTGTTGTAAAAGCCTCTTACAATAATTTGTTTTAATATTCTGGATGATTTCTTGATCCATTGGTTGTACTTTCGCAGTTCTATTTGGCGGCAAATATTCAACATGTATAGAACTCACTTCGGGAAGGTTATTGTGGCAGGTTGCATTATCCACAAATAAGAAAATTTTAAGCTTTTCCCTCGAAAACTGTGTAACTATTCCTTTTAACGAGTTACTGAATCTGTCTCGTGTCATCCATGCTTTTGTATTGGGTAACATAATCAACTGGCAGTGTTCGAATCTCTTTAAAACACAATGGATTCTTTGACATTCCAATCACTAATACTTTAAGCTTTTCGCTCCCATCAATATCAGCACAAACTAAAGCTGTAATCCTCTGTTTACTGCTTTTGCCTCCTACGCAAGCATCCCCTTTAAAATGTGATGTCTTGTTTGGCGAGAGTTTATTAAAAAATGAAATTTGATCCGTATTAAAAATATCTTTGGACAAATAAGTAGAGAAAAGCTCTGTTAGTTTCCTACTGAAATTAGTGCGCATATGCCTTCGTTTACATCAGACCTTTGGTCACATACAGTTTGATGAGAAATATTATGCCTTGACGTAAATCGAGAAAACCATCCATCATTTAAAATCTTCAGTATCCATTCGACCACATTTAAAATCTTCAGTATCCATTCGACTTGCCAATTCATCAGCCTTCGGCTGCAGTTGAGGTCCATTTATCGAAAAATTTCGAGATCTAGCCTCCTGGAACCGTAGCAGTGTCATCCATGCTTTTTCTAGATCTTTTTCGGACGCATTTCTCATGGGTTTCCTTCCTGTAGCAAATTTAGATTTTTCCCTTGAATCTAATTTTTTCTCCCTTCAAATAATGGGATTTTTTCATTTTATTTTATTTTATTTTTATTATTATTATTATTCCATAGTCAGTTGCTAATTTTGTTTCACATTCGCCATTCTCTACTTTCTTTAAAATTTCCACCTTTATCTCCACAGTTAGAGTTTTATACTTTCCACGTGTAGACATCCTTCAATTTTACATGTTCACCACCACACACTGAGGAAGAAAAATTAGAGCACATAAACTTGTGTGCACTGCAGGCGTAAATGACATAACTCTCTAAAATCTGTAGTAAAGACTTTTTTTTTTTTCTGAAATTTTAAGAGAATTGATAGCAAATAAACAAATGATTCTCCCCCTTATCCCGACCCATTCATGAATCCAAGGAAACAGGTTAGGTCAGGGAGCTATGTCCGCTAAACACTGATAAGAGGTGGACAGTAGAACAATACCCACTAACGCTTAGCGGAAATGCAATAGCCTAGGAATGGAGACATGTGCCTGTTTACACAGGAAAAGAAATCCAGATGATTTTGACACACAAACTATAAATACACATGTACTTCTCCATTAAATAAGGAGAAAGTTAAGTGAATAAAATTTAGTTCGAATTTCTGAGATATTTTTAACATTAATTCCAATACAAGTTTTTGAAGGCCGTCGCAAGTTCCAATTAACGAGCGTTCAGTATAATAACAGCGGCAATGAAAAATGAACTATGATCTGTAATAATGACAATAGATCGTAATACATCATCATTGTCCATTGTTAATATTGCAGTCTAATATATTACTATCCATTATTAATATGACTGTTATATATAAAGGAATATTTTGCAAAACCCATAGTTTATACTTAAACAATTCATATTCAGTAGTTCGTAAATAATACATATTCCATATTCAGTAGTTTATTTATAATGATTCGTTACTAATGTTCGTAAAATATTCACATTTCAGTTTCAATAAAAAGTTCATTTTTATTTAGTGTATAATTTAACCCCCGCCAGTATATTAATTTTCATGTAAAGAAAGAAATATTGTTCACATAAATAAATTTGTTCCAAAACAAAGGGATCATTTTTATTTCAAAAATTCCTAAATGAGGGTATATTTATCTTTTGATAAGTACGTAAAAAGGTTAATCAAATCTGTATTTTCAAATCTTTGAATAAGATTTGCATCACAGTGTAAATTAATTAGCTTCTTGCCAATCTAGAGAAACTAAACTTCGCAGCAAGATGTTGTGGACTCTGTGCTGGGTCAATACATGAGATAATTTATAATTCCAGAATGGATTAAGCATATTATAGTTAATAATAATAAAAGAAGACGTTAGAGTTACAAAGGAAACCTATTTTTATTTACGTTTTTTTCTTGTTGCCAATTTGAGAAACTAAACTTCGCAACAGTAAAGATAATACTATACGTAGAGGGAGCTGCTGCAAGCTTCGTTTATAAATTTTCTGGAGACTCATGTTTGTTTTCAGTGTTAATGAAAAAAAATGTAAAACTGGACTTAGAATCATTAGGATCTTAACACTTTCTTCAAATTCTTTCCATAATGAATAATGTCATAATAATGCTAATTAATTTACCGGAAATGTAATGGCGGGCTGCCAGAAACCACTACTTTAATATGCATCATGCCAAGAGCTTCATGTTCGTGCTGCCATCTGGAGCTAGGGAGTTAAATATTGGGATACTCAGCTGAATTTCAATGCTCCCGATTAACTGGAACAAGTAGTCCTATATGAATGATAAAAAATCCGATAATTGCTTTGTTAATATCCTTCTGTAGGTCAAGTGTGTATTTAACAGTAAGTGAAGGATTTCGCCCCACCCTTATTTATTTTTTCTTTGGAAAAATATTATTAATTAGCCCAAAAGGGATATTAGTTTCGAGACGGCATTTGCGGCGTATCACTTTTAAAATTATTTCAAAACAGATATTATCACCATGTATTATATTTAAAGAAATTAAATAATGAAGAATCTCCATGAATGTTTCTCACATGTTTCTCGCAGTGTGAAAAAACAACGGTACCTAGAGCCATTAAATTTTGAATAACGTAGTCTTTCATCCAAATATGGGCATTTGGGAGCTTGAATTTGGAATTTGTTTTATTGCCTATTTCATATTTTGTGAAACTTTAACGGATTTTTTATTAAGAAACTTGATGATTTCAAAGCGAGCAATGGCAATAATGTTGCGGGGGGGGGATTTATCTCGAGCGCGCGAGACTGTTTATCGGAAATTCTAACGATATGCTGTTTTTAAATATTTTATGATTTTGCTGTTGAATCGAATTTTGTGTGGCATAAGCGCCAAGAATGTTATATTTAATAAATAAAGTAAACACATGAAAGTTAATAATAAAAAGACAATAGTTTTGTAAAGCCGTCTTAGGAAGAAAATTATACATTAATATTATAAGCTGAGAAAAGACTTAAAAAAAGAGAAAAATATATGCCAACAACTTAACGCTGCATCGGGAATTCTAAGCGTATACTGCTATGCTGCTGTTAAAAACTGTACGGTACAAAGTCCGAAAACCGGACTCGTCGGGACTTCGGCGATTCCGGATTTGGGATTTTTCTGGATATTAGATCATCAATTTAAACCTTGTAAGATGGCATGGAGAAATTAGATCATCAATTTAAATCTTGTAAGATGGCATGGAGAAATTATACAATTAAACGTATGAAATAAAGAACAATTATGATCCAAAAGGGTATCAAAATTTACAGTATATATATATTTGTTTACTTTATTAAACATTTCTTTCATTGTAAGTTGTTTAAGTTGCTTCCACGAAAAATTAAAAAGTTCCTTTTTCTTTTTTCCTTGTGTCATCCAATGCCATACTCCTCGCATAATTTTGAGACGGATATGGCTTTATCCATTTTTTGCAGCAATTTCACTTTTTGTTTAATGGACATCGAAACATGGTTTCGCTTTGTAGAATTGGGAATTCTTTTCGACATAATCGAAAGTTCAAGCTTAGATTTTATAAAATTGTCGTAATAATAACAGTCTGCAAAAAATAATAAGCTGGATCAAACTAAAAAAATTTTTCAGCAGCGAAGTCCGCTACATTAACTGAAATGCCGTAGAATCAGTAAAGATAATTTTAGCCTAGCTTAATAACGTCCGTTGTACATTACTGGCTGTGTATCACAAGATTGGCGACGAAAGCTAAGTTGTTTCGCTAAATTTTGTCTTGCGCCCGAATTAAGCCTGAATTGTATTAGTTTATTTATTTACTGTATCTACGTTTATTTCTTGCACATGCTTAAAACTAATCTGAGTCCTGAATAAATAAACTCCAACATATACTAAACGCTTTACTTAGGGCCGGCGCTAAATACCGCATAGTGCAATCTCTACGGGTCCTAAATTCTGTTACAAAGCACCTTCCTAAGTTCTAAATTTTCACCGCACCTAAACTTTTCATCCCATTGCTTTCCCTAAATCATAAAAAAACTTCTCATCCCTTAAATTTTCCCGCTCGGTGCTTCCCCAAATTCAAAAAATTTCGTCTTCCCTAAATTCTGCCGTCCGGTGCCGACATATTCTGCCGACGCTTCTGGGTTTATGGTGAATAACATATCAGTTAGTCTTAATTAAAATAACACTAAATGTAATCTTTTGGCCTCTGAGTTTCATTAAAAAATCTATTTTTAGTATATGAAAAGAAATTTTTGTTGAATTTTTCCTCGTCAACATTTCTTAGAACATTTAAAAATCTATAATCATCGCCAAGCGTAATGTTAGCATAAAAGGTTGCCATACTCTTGTTATTCAATTACTAATATATTAAAAAAAAAGTTTAGACATCACTGCATGAGTTATTCCTGAAGTTGTCATGTATTGATAAACTGCGGTGATAAAAAAAAAAAATAAATATGACTCGCCAGGTCGGCGTCCAGGATATAAAAAAGTGAATGTTCAAGTGGCGAACAGCGGTAAACGGAAGGGAACGTTTGAGATGTATGCCAAGCGGATACTCAGCTACGGAGAAAATTATTAATCGCATAAATTTAGCTTACATGATTGTTTTTCAAACGAGGTCTTTATTTAGTCGTAAGTGAAATTAAAATCGGAATTTTTAAGTGAAAAATTATGGAAGGAAAAATCAAATGCACATGCGTAAAGCATATCAAAAAAAAAAAAAAAATGTTTGTGGCTTTGAGGTCCGGATTTTAGATCATTCCGGATAATGGACGTCCGGATTTCGGACTTTGTACTGTATAATTTTACTATTCAATTGTATATTGCGTAGGTGCGAAGAAAATAATGCTAATGATAAAGCTAAAATAACGGAAAAAAAAAAAAAAGACTTGGTAGAAGTGAGTGTGATAGCAGATTGATAGACTGCAAGCTCAGCGAGAGCGTAAAAATCCTTAGCAAACCATTTTGGGCGACCATTAAAATTTGAAAACTCAGTTTTTTATTTTGTTTTGTTCTGTTATAAATGTATTTGATTTAAGTTTTTTTTTAATTCAGAAATTATGAAAAGCATATTAAGCATTAAATTATTTTTTATGTGTCTTTTATGTCCGTAAAACAAACTTTAGAACGCATTTATAGCAACAAAATGAATCATAAAATCATATTTTGTCTGCTTGAGTGCTCAACTTTTTCTATCTGAAATAAAACAAAACAATGAGATTAATTTTTATTCACGTAGGCTCTAAAAAATCATCAACTTGTTTTCCTCGTTTGTAGAAAGAAAATACATAACGTCAAATTAATATTTTTCTCATTTTAGAAAAAAAAAAAAAGCATTTATTGCATTTAAGGCAATGATTCCAGGAGTAAAGAAAAGAGATCTCTCCATACAATATAAAATAGCATTTCTGTTAATGTTTTATAAAATCTTGCTTATAATTGCTAAATAGTACTGTGTGACATGTTATTGTTATTATAGTTATTAACGTTAGGATATGTTACTAATAAGTGATTATGTTACTGAATAAAATGATTCAATCTGTATGGCTGAGAATGGTCCTACAATACTTTTCCCCCTTTTAACCAAATAACTATATACCAGGGTTGGTCAAACTTCATGTCAGTAAGAGCCGCACGTTTGAACTCAGGAATGTTCGAGAGCCGCATCTAGATTTTCTAAAAGCCACAAGTTCATATTTACATCATGATAGAAGTAGTGTACGAGGTTTTAAATAGAAAGAAATCCCTGATAACTTTGTAAACATAGTCTGAACTAATAAATGACTTCTTTTTGGACACTGAATAGTTTTAGTTTACCATATTTCATACATCTATTTTATATGCACGAGCCGCACAAATTGCCTGCGAGAGCCGTATCAGGCTCGAGAGCCGCACTTTGGCCACCCCTGCATTCATCTAAATTAATATTTCATATAGCAAACAATTTTCTCTAGGTAGGGTAAATGTGCCGACTTAATTCTTTCAGTCAGGAAACATACTTTCCTTATCAGTTTAGTTTGCTAAAATTTCTTTAAACATATGAAATATACATTATAAGTTAGATATTTCAATAAATAAAGAACCAAACAGAATGAACAAACTTTAAAACGTCCCGTACTATTACTATTCTATTGTCTTACAGAGTCTGGTTTTTCATAATATTTGCTTCGAAAACAAGGGCGATCTTAGGTTCAGGTGGAAATGTAGTGGGACACCCGATGTTTACTATAAGTAATGTAGATATAGTCCCACTACACTTCGGTTTATTTTTAAAGTTAATATTTAAAAAAATACATAGTATAATATAACACATAATACAACAGTATAAATAGTATATCGATATTTTGATTGATATCATATCTATTAGATATCAATCAAAATATCAATATACTCGCTCTCATGAAGGACGCTCTCATGAAAGATCAGAACAACACATTTCGTTTTTAACAGTCGCCAATAGGCATCGTTGGCGCATATATTTTTGGGTTGAAAATTGTGTGCCGCGTGTTGTCTTATAACAGGAAAAGAACAATAGTTGGCTAAAAATCTAAACATTCTATACCATACTTTTTCCATGTTTTATATAATTTAAACTAACTAAAAAACTAGCTAACTAATTAATACTAATTACGTCAACATAAAGAAAAACAATAAAAAGCTTAATTTCAAATCGCTTGGAAAGCATAAAATGAAATGAAAAACTGATATTGTTTTATAGGCACGATACCCAACATCGGCCAAGCGGTAAAGCTATTAAACAGTGGGTTTTCGAAATAGGTTCAGTTCTAAGCGAAAGAGTTAGCTGCATGGGCATGTAACGCTGATACGAGCCAATTTCCTTTAGAAAGTCCTCCACGAAGATCATTCTTCTTTTAGGCAGATAGCCCTCGAATACTTCGCCATAACCATATAAATCAAATTAAAAGAGCTTACTTTGGATTTTCTTTTTCTTATTTATTACCATAAGCAAAACTTTAAATGTTGGTCTAAGCCATAAACGTGAAATTATTCTTTTTGAATTTGGATTTTTTAAATATTAAGCCACAAACGTCTTATTAATAATAATTTATTATTTTTAATAATAATAAATTACTGCTGAGTTGTTAATAAATTCGTGCATTAGTGAGTTATATAATTTTTTTGAAAGAAATACGTAGCAAATAGAAATTATCATTAAAAGTTCATGCATTATAAATTATATAATTTATTTGAAAGAAATAAATAGCAAATGGAAATCATTGAAGATGTTTAAAGACTTAAAGGCTAAGGAAATAGGGAAATGTAAAAGCAGAATTTAAAGATTATTTTGCAATTGAGATTACTGAGAACTTTAAGTTAATGAAAATTACTTATTTTAAAAAAATGCTTTTACGTTTTCCTTTGTTGTTTTATATATGCAACTTATGCCAAATTCTTAAACTGAAATTGCTTTTAATTTTTAGGTTCGCAGCTATATTTTGAGCTTTTCCTGAATGGCAGGATGGGCCATATACAAGCCGCTGTAAAAATTTCATTTTTTCTCACACAGACAAATGATGGACTGAAAATAAATAGCCGTTGACCTGTGTGATATTCTAATATTTTAAGTTAAGTACAAAACTGCAAAACAGAGAACAAGGCTCATACTTCTTTTGAAAATAAAATTTCATATTAATTTGTGTTCAAAAATTTCTATATTTCCAAAATTACTGAAATTATTAGATTTTGTTATACTATTTTATAGTGTTATATTAATTAAGTGATTAATTTGTTTAAGGTAAATTAATAACCAAACTGTGGTAGTTTTTCTTGTTTAAAATGGTGTTGTAACAATATTTTTGTGTACATTATGAAGAGTTCTATATTAGTAGTATTACTCTGCTGTAAAATTTCTACTTGTTTATGAAAACTTACCACTGAATGATGCTTCTGATTTTGTAAGTACAAAGTGTTATTAGTTTTTAAAATAGAGAGTTTTAAAGTGACTTAATCTTGACATTTATTTTAAAATTTACTACTTGTTATATTTGCTAATTACTTACCACTTGTTATATTTCTTAATTACTTTCCACTTGTTATATTTCCTAATTACTTTCCGCTTGTTATATTTCCTAATTGCTTTCCATTTGGCGATAAAGAAGGTTTTTTTATCTATAGAGATGGCCCAGATGGAATAGTGAAATATTTAATAGATATATGTATATTTAGAGTAACATGGTAGCGTTTATGTCTTCTCCGTGTTTGATAAGTAAACAATATTTTTAATTAGATAAAGCATGAATTCAATGAAATTTTTATTCAAATTAATCAGATTCAAATGTAAAAAATTATATTCTTAAAAACTGCGTATATTTTTGTTTGTTTGTTAACCGATAACAGATAGATTAAAGAGTAAAGATAAATATCAAATATTTTGCCGAATGGCAATAGACTCGAATGAAAAGTGAAACAACGCATTTAAAGTGAAACAGCGCAAAATCGTATTTTGAACTAATAGCTCTTTTCAACGAAAAAATTAATTCTAAACTAATAATTAGAATTAATTTATGGATTCAGAAATTAATTTTAAAATCAGCTGATATGAATTTTGTGTAATAACTTATAATTCTCAATTTAGTAACTACAAAAGTGTTCTGAAAAAGTTTTATAAAAATATGTAAAGTTTTGTATAAACTTTCTGTATATTTTATCAATAAATATACTTTGTTGTATAGTTCTAGATATATCACTTCAAAAGCGAAAAATGCAAAACTCTTTTTCAATAAAATAATTTGCGTACTTGAACGTAAAGACTAAAAACGAAGTTAAATATTTTATTTGAAAGATATTAGATAGCAAATAGCTTCTTACATGCCCTGAAAGCTAAAGAGTTAGCATTATTATAAACGTATTCTTACCCTTGCCTTTTAAAGAATGTATCTAACAAAGTTTTCAAAGGAAAGGGCGAGAAAAAATACATTTTCTTTATTTTTGTATTTGAAAATGCTTTTGTAAAGTGATTTTTATACTTTATATGTATATATAATATTATGTAACAGCTGATTTTTTCACAATTTTGGATTTGCTTAGAGTACATGATTTGAAATATGAATAAAATATTTTTTCCAAACCTATTTCTTTCTTCTTATTAATGCCAGAGAACAAACAGCAATACTTCATATCTATATCTCAACTTCTTCACTTGATCTGCAATTTATTTTTCTCACGGTGTTCTGAAAACACTATTTGCGTCAAAAACATTCATGTAGTCCATTTGTATGCTAAAAATACTCAGGATTTCTGTATAAAAAGCATTCTGTGATCACTTCTGTTACATGCTTAGCATATTCATTATTCGAAATATTCAGATTTTGCTGAATATTTCTCACGCTTACGGTTTTCACAAGCAAAATTTTGTGTTTTCATAACGAACAAATTTTTTAAGAGCATCTGATTATTCTAACTTTTTATCGAGAAGTAGATTAGAAGGTAGATACTGAACTTTACTTAAAATAATTTTACAGGAGCGATTGGTTTCCGTCTCAGGCTGTCATCTTAGACAAAGGGGTTCCTACAATCGAGCGTGGATTCTTTCTCGCCCAGTTACAACATTTGTGTATATTTACCCTTCCTCTAAGCGAAAATTGCACCTTATTAACCCATTCTAGAAGGGCTCAGTAGAGGCCGAGCGGTAAAGTCCATGAACACTGGTAGTTCGATCCGAGAAACGAATCCTGCGAACGGGCTGGCTGCATGCGCGTTTTCGTGGTTTCTCCATATGTAACGTGTATAGGAGCCAGTTTCCTTTAGAAAGTCGTCCACGAAGGCATCCTTCGCTTTCGTGTAGTGCCTTAGAGCGGAACACTTAAATAATAATAATAATTAGCCCAGAGGATGTTGGACAGCTATTCCAATTCTTTCCCATCTTAGAAAAATTCAATTTGCAAATACATGGCGACTCCCGATGATTCCTATTCCTGTACGTATGAGATTTAGTAAAACTACATCTTTCGAATGATCCTGGCACAGTCCCATCCCAAATATCTGTTCTTCGAGAGTGTTACGCCGCCACCTATCACTGAAAACGTAACAAATCTGGCAATAAAATATTTGTTATTTAAAAAAATGTCCCATACTTTCCTATGCATTTCTGTAAAACCCACATTGTGTTCTTATCTGTGTTTTCCAAATAACCAAACATTTATGATTGCATTTACTTTTGGATCACCCAGTATATACCTGGTTCTTTAGTCATACTCGAGCGGCCTCTTCTTAATGGTACGGGAAATTTCCGACGCCTACTAATTGATAAAATAACTGTCAAACACAGTTCAAAAACTGCGGATAACAGAGCCAGTGTAACTTTAAGGCTTCATTATGGCACTAGTTCTAAAAGGACACTCAGCCATTACAATAAATTTTAAAAATATTCAAACTAAATTTGAGATTTTAGGCTGATATTGTTCAACGTTTGAATACAGCGATTTTACAGAAACTGTAAAATTCTAATTCGAATCATTTTTTAAAACACAGAATGCGGTTATTAACACATATATTTAAAAAAAAAAGAAAAGCGTTTCTGCATTACCATCAGATGAAATTTTTTCGTACTCTGTGCAAATTAATTTCAACAATGAAGTAATTAATGAAATAAATACAAAGCATTAAAAATTCAACAATTCGTTTATTCCTTTCAAAGGAACAAATGTTCTGCAATGAAAGTGACTGCAAATATGCATAATTCCAGTTTTCAAAATTAAATGACTTCATTTTACAAAGGCTCTTACAAACAACTACAAACAGGGATATTATTCTTTAGGAATAAATAACATTCACCGGGGGAAAAAAATCATAACATTACAAACACCTCCAAATATCAAAATTCGTTTTCATTATGCTGCCCTAAAGTAAACCTTGGAATAAATATAAGACCTCTGTATTAACACTATACATTGAACTCATTCGGGATATGAGCAACTCTGACCTTCCGTATGTACCCATGGTTTAGTCGTTATCACAACACGCGGAAGGCCTCAGGTTCGCTTAATTTTTTAACTGACAGCATTAAATAATTTTTTAAAAAGCAAACATTTATATTTTGAACTCATTGTCGGCACGAACATTTTGCATGTGTACCCATGGTGTAGTGGTTATCACATACGCCTAACACACGGAACGTTCCAGTTCGAAACCTGGTGTGTACCAGGGATAAATAGATGGGCTAGGTTATTCCTTTGTTCGACTCCTTGCCGACGCGAACCTCATGGAGGGCAGGGCTAAAGAAAGAGAGTCCATGGAAGGGTGAACTGGAAGTAATCTGACGTGTCTCTGTTGCACCTGTTCTGATTTCGCGCTTTTAAAACTAGTTTCATTCATTTGCGAGACGATTTTCTAGAGGTCGCATATCCCAAATTAATTTTAATCATGCATATTTGTTTTCTAATAATGCAAATATTTAAAATAATTTGTGTATATATATATAGTTTTAGTCAGTTTTCCTTTTAAATTCTATATTTAAAGTATCCTTTATGTAATATGGCTTCTTGTGCTGTAGCAACGTGCCGTAACACTTATAGAAATACGAAAGGAAGAGATATTGTATTTCATGCTTTCCCCAAGGACAATTTGCTTTTGACGAAAGAATGGATACATAAATGTCGAAGACAGGATTCTATTAATGTGAAAAACGCAAGAATTTGCAGCGAACATTTTCTGTGCAGTGATTATGAAGATGACATGAGAAATCGCTTGCTTGGATTGCCGCAAAAGAAACTGTTGAAATGCAATGCTGTGCCGAAAGTAAATTTATTGTGTGCAGTAAACGAAATAACACCAAGAAATCGGAGACATTTGAAAAGAAAACTAATGCAGAGTGCTTTTGAAAGACTACACGAATTAAGCCCAAAGAAAATTTATTTTGAGGCCGAGAACGAAATTGAAGCTGACAATAATAAATCAAATGTGAATGATTTTGAAATAAAACTCACAAGTGACAATGCCCTATGTGACAATATCCCTGAGTGCCCTAAGTGTAAAGATAAACAAGAATGTATTGATAATTTGAAGAACAAAATAATATCCTTAGAAAATTGTAATAAAATATTGAAAAATAGAGAAAAGAAAATTTTAGAATGTTTGCTCAGCGACAAAGAAGGTGGACGACATCTAGAAAGAAATTTGTATCGGAAATCAGAAATTCAGAAATTAAAATCCCAAACAGCGAAATTTAGGAAAAAAAAACAGAACAGATCGGAGAATTTGGAAAAACGTCTAAAGCATATTTTTACAAAGACGCAGATTAACGCATTGCTAGAAAAGAAGGAAAAAATCAGGTGGACTAGTGAAGATATTTCACGTTGCATTGTCATAAGAGCTCTGTCATCTAAAAGCTACGATTTTTGGAAAGAAAAAATGGGAATTCCTTTACCTAGCACTAGCACATTAAAGAGATGGTGCGCTAAATTTTCATGTAGTCCAGGAATTCAGAGTGATGTTCTTGCTGTAATGAAGGAAAGATGCCAATATTTGAATTCTGTAGAAAAAATATGCGTTCTCAGTTTCGACGAAATGCACATAGATTCTAAACTCTGCTATGACTCTAAACTGGACCAAATTCTCGGTCCTTTTCAAAAGTCTTTTCAAAAAGTGCAGTTTGTTTTAATCAGAGGTCTCATTTCGCAGTGGAAACAACCAATATTTTTTTTATTTTAACACTCCAATGAAGAAAGAACTTCTTTTTTCACTCATAAGACATATTCAATCATCTGGAGTAGAAGTGAAAGCAATAGTGTCTGATTTAGGAGGATCTAGTACTTTGTGGAAAGAGTTACAGATTTCGATTAATAGTTCTCAGTTTCCAAATCCAGTATTGCAAACGAAAAAATATGGGTTTTTGCAGATTTAGCGCACTGCCTCAAATTACTGAGAAACCACTTTTTAGATAAAGGATTTGTTTTAGAAGATGGAACTGTTTTAAATGTTGATATTATTAAAGAGGTTTTAAATAAAGATTCAGGAGAAATTAAATTGTGTCACAAACTAAAACCAAATTATTTAATGGTCAAGGGAAACGAGAGACAAAAAGTCGCTCCAGCGAAAACATTATTTTCAAGAACTACCGCAAAAGGTATACTCCACCTCACAGGAAATCAAAAAGCATCCGACTTCTTTGAGTTAATCGACAATTTTTTCGATATTATGAATAGTACCAAAAACATACCCTCCTTCAGATAAAATACTTAAAGCAGCATTTGGATTAAATGAACATCATGAAAAACAAATTCAAGTTTTGGAATTAATGAAGAAAGTCATTGGTGGATTAAGAGTTCAGGGAAAAGCCAACTTACTGCCTTTCCAAAAAGGAATAATAATTTCAATAAATTCTCTTTTTGGCCTACACCAGGATTTGAAATCATCGTATGATGCTAAATATATTTTAACCTCTAGATTAACTCAGGATGCACTTGAAAGTCTCTTTAGTCAGATTCGAGGGCTTGGTAGGTTTAATGACCATCCATCACCTAGTGAAGTTATACGCCGCTTAAAGCAATTAATACTCGCTAATAGCTGCCAAATTTATCTTCAAAAGTATGCATGACTAAAGAAAGCAGAAATATTGATTCATATTTAACATCCGAAATACTTGAAAGGGCTTTGAAAACTGAGGAGAGGAGATGCTTTTCCATTAAATACTATTGATGATTTGGATTTGGATTTCATAGAGGAACCTTCTCCTATGGCTTAGGAATTAGAATTGAATTCCGACAGACAATTTTCGACCGCCGAAAAAGAAGCATTAACATATGTTGCAGGTTATATTGCCTATCGTGTGCGAGAGAAAGACCCATCATTGGGAACAATATCTAAAAACCAATACTGATGAACCAATATTTAATTCAGAATGGATTAAATTATTGTCCTTAGGAGGTTTGACTACACCTTCTCATTCATGGATGAATACAGTTTATGAGTTCGAAAACATATTTTGTGCAGTTCATGGTACAACTTACTATAAAGGGAAGCATGTAATTGGTTCTTTAATTAATAAACTGGAAGAAACATTATCCTGAAGTTAACAGAGAAGCAATTCGTTTATTTTGCAGAGTGCGAACTTTTATTAGAATACGTTTCTTAA